ATTTCTCATGCATCCATCCACACCTGCGAACGGGGTGTGACGACATAAAGCAAGAGTAATAATTTAGCACGCAAGTCCTCTGAGGCTAACTAGATTTTGGTTCTCCAAGTGGAAAAGGAAACTCCCCACTCCCCAGACAAAGAGCGGCTGCCTTGGCTAATGTCCCTGAAACCTCCTCTAGAGAAACTTCCTTGAATACCGCGAGGGCATGCTGACCGGGCCACCCATCTGCAGCCTGGCATCTCTGTGGCACTCCCTCACTGCAGACACCAAGCTACTGAAATACAGCTGTTTGCACTGGGCATAGACTCCACAGACCTAAACGGGCCTGTTCAGCTCAGCCAGCAGGCCGCAGATCTGACTCTACACTGAGATCACCCCCAGACCAGGTAAGAGTCCACAGGGCCACAGCATGGAGGTCTGGGCCGGCGCCTGACACCTGTTCTCATGTGTGTGCATCTCGTTTCCTTGACTTTACACTGAAGTCCTTTTAAGTGAAGAGTAATATCATACACATGCTTATGGCCACTGTGTCTCTTAGACCCTCTGAGAAGCAAGCTGGAGGCATTGTAACCCTTCAGAGACCAACTATCACACCACCTCTTAATATAGACCTTTCAACTTGCATAACAATACGATGACACATGCACGGAGATGAATTCTGGCATGATTGTATTGCTCAGCCTGAGTCCATATTCAAATGTTCTCAGTAGTAGTATATTAATAGTATAACGGAATATTCGTAACTTCTTAACAATACTGTTTTTATGATACCCTTTATTGCTTTATTGTTACCTTTTTTTTTTTTTTTTCCCCAATCCAGGGTCCACCAAGGATCAACCGTGCCTCTCCCAGCTGTCCTAAGCCATAGCTGGCCAACCTACCTGTGTACCGTTAGGGGCCCCCATGAGTCCACAGACATGAACTGGAACATGATGGTGCAGGAGGTGAGTGAACGCGTCCATCCATTTACGTCCTTCCTATCTCACTGTTATTTTTTTTTTCATTTTATTTCAGTGAGTCCTTTAAGATCTGCCCTCTTCGCAACTTTCCAGACTACAATGCACTGTCATTAACTCTAACCCCAGGCAGCACATTCCGCCCCAGAACTGACAGGGCGAAGTCTGCACCCAAGAACCATGCCCGCCCCTTGTCCTCAGGCCCCCAGCAACTACCAGTGTGACCTCTGTCCCCGTGAGGTCAGCTTGTTTAGATTTCACATGTAGTGAGATCACACGGGCACTGTCTGACTTCGGGATGACGACTTCAGGATGACGGGTCTTGGGTCGCCCGACATGACAAATGTCATGATTTCTTCCTGCTGGTTCAACAAGAGCGCACTCATTGTACGGACATACCACGCTTTCTTGATCCATTCCCCTGTCATCATGTCCTAGCTACTATAAATAAAACTACGGTGAACACAGGGGCTCACATTCAAGACAGTGACTTACTTTCTTTCCTTTGGGTAAAAGCCCAGCAGTGGGGTCCTGCTTATGTCTTTTTGATAGTTATCAATGCAACAGGTGTGGGATGGTGTCTCACTGTGGTTCTGATTCGCATTTCCTGGCATGTGTGATGCCGGCAACTTTGCACGTACCTGTCAACACGTGAATGTCTTCCATGGAATGATGTTTAGGCCCTTTGCCACTTTTTCATTAGATTATTTGTTCTCCTTGCTATTGAGTTATAGGAGTTCTTTCTATAGCTTGAATATTAACTCTATCAAATATATGGTTGAAGATTATATTCTCCAATCTGGAAGTTTCCGTTTCATTTTCTTGATTGATTCTTTGACTTTTGAATGTGATGGCTCTTAGCATCGTGTGTGGGTGTCGCATCTCTGCCTCCTCCCACTGACACAGCTCCCCTCGTCCGTGTTTGCTTTCATGACATGAACCCTTTGGAAGAGATGCCCCAAATATCATTCAAGACATCTCGCAACTGGAATGTGTCTGTTACTTTCCAGTACTAGACACAGTTCTTTCTAGGCCCACTGCAGGTGTGTTGTATGTTTCCAAGGACAGTCTTCGGGAGAAGGGAGAGTCAGTGCACCCTCGCCACACATGTGTGATGGCTCTAGCTGAGCGGAGTCGGCCAGCTCTGTGTCAGGTGCCTTGGCTCTGGTGATTCACATGGATCCCCAAGTCTGAGAAGGCTTGCTGCTCCCAGTGTGCTCTGCAGACTGGCAACACCGGGCACCCCTGGAAACTTGCCAGAAATGCATCTATGAACACTCCCCCAGAAAGGTCAGGCTGTGGTCCCTGTGTGTCACCTTCTCCCACCTTCCCTCCCTCATCCCCCGGCCTCCCATGGGGACCCACAGACAGGGTGAAGACAGCACCACATAGCTGATCACATAGTGTGATCCCAACTTCGTCCCCTAAGTAGCTTCAGGAGCAAAGTGCGTGACTTCTCAAGACCTGTCACTCACTGGTGTCCCCTCTCTTCCAGCACCCGAGCTGAGCCCCTGGGTGTGAGTCCGTCTCTGCCTACCGCAGAATTATGGTAGTCAACCCCTAAACTGTGCTCTGGTTGAGGGGGTTGAAAGTGTCAGAGTCATGAGTCGAAAGGAAGGCAAGGAGTTCGGAAGTGAAGAGCAAGATACAAGAAGGTGGTTAGAACAGAGAGGGCCGTGGATTTATCAAGGTGCAGGAAGCAGGCAGATTAAATATAAGCAAGTATGGGAGCAAAAAAGAAAAGAAGCATTTACCTAGTAGCTACAATGCCACGTTCAGTTTTCTATCCATCAACCACCCCGGGAGGGGGCATCATGAGCTCCACGTTAGAAACAAACAACAAAATTCAGAGGAGTCCAGCACCTCACTCCAGGCCCCACAGCTAGGAAACGGCAGAGCTGGGTTAAATCCCGGGGGGTGTCCTTCACACACTTCCCACTGAAGGAAGGGCGCACTAGCACCTCACATCTGTCAGCTGTTATCAAAACCACACAGAGACAAGCCCGGGAAGGCTGTGGAGAGGCTGCAAAACTCGCAGTCTACTGGCAGGAAAGCAAACGGGTGCGGCTATGATGGAACACCCCATGGTGGGCCTCAAAATTAAAACTAGAATTAGCGGGGCCCCACAATCTCACTCGAAGAGCTAGCAGTCTCCCAAGTTCACAGCAGGGCTCTTCACACAAGCCCACCAAGCAGTGGACATGGCCTGAGCGTCCATCGACAGCTGAGCGGACGAGGAGAGGGGACTGATCGGCCGTGAAAATGACTCACGGTGCACTGTGGCAGGAGGAAAATGAAGGCAATGGCGTGCAGGACGCTGTCCAGCAAGCTTTCAATTCCTTCTCCTGCAGTCTCCAGTTTTCCTGGATTCTCTCTGGGAACTGAGGCTCCAGGTTTTGGCAGACCTCAAACCTGCTTCTGACTGATAGAATATTCTAAATGGAGGCGTTGTTAATTACAGACCTTAGCTATCCCTTCCCTTCCTGGGCCAGGAAGGGTTCAGGGTGCTGTCTGGGAAAGGTGGGAGGAGAAGTCGTGGGGATCTGTATGGCTGCGTGCTCTCCACTTGGGTCCCTTTTTAAATGATCGCATCTCTTCACATGAACTTCATTCTGATTTAACTAAATACAGTGCTAGCAACAGAGAGGTACATATATTTTTAGCTGCCACCCCCCCCCCTCAGCCCCCCAAGCCCCTATTACCAGCTGGATGCCCTCCCTGCTGGTGCTTCCTTTCAGGGAGGCCCCTCACCAGGCTTGAGCAACCTCTGAAGAAACCTGTTGCCAAGCCTGAGGTCTTGCGCCCTGGCCCCACCTGGTGGCCAAATCTGGAAAAGCGCGTCTAAGAGGGAGACTGGCAGGTAGTGTTAACTCCAGAGCTCCCTGAACTCCGCCTGACCACATCAGTCAGGGGTCGACTGGAGGAGGCCAGAGAGGTATATCCACTGCTCACCTTGGCAGAAGGCAGGTCACCGTCAGTTCCCCACCAAAGCCCGGAGCCACGCAGCCTCACAAGAGGCAGCCATCAGGATGACTAAGCCACAACCACCAGGCAAGAGACAACGGAGAGGGTCCTGCAGCCCTGACGTCTGTGACATGGGGTTCCCCTCCTGCGTGTGAAGCCAACACTGCCACCCTCTTGCCTGCTTCCCCCGGTAACGGGGAGTTTGCTATCCAGACTGCCAGGTGCAGAAAGGACCCTGCCTTCCTTCTAGCCATGCATTTATTTGTATGCATTTCATTCTGGCTAGCAAGGAGATGCCTTCCAGGGGCATTTCCCTGCCTTCTTTCACTGCAGGCAAGAGAAGGAGCAGCACTTACGGCCAAGGACTGTCAGGACCCCAATCATGGCGCTGTTTCAGCCAAAATACCACTCCCCCCACCTGCCAGCACAGCTTAGCCCCAACCCCTGCCCATAGTTTGCAAGTCTAAGATGCACAGACACGCGCTCGGAACTAAAGACATGCATTTGATGAATCCCAGCTCCCAATCAGAGCAACGCCAGGCTCTTTCCCTACCGCGATGGAGCCCTGACAGGAGCACGACCAGCAAGCAAGGGACACCTGCGCTCAGGCAGACACACCTGCGCGCTCACACACACGGGCACTCACACACCTCCGCCACGGGTGGCGAACCGCTCCTATCCCCAACTCCAGGCTGCACCACATAAACTCACCAGCGATCCCAAGAGAAGGGGCCCACCCCAAGCAGAGACACGGCGCCTGCCGGAGAGGATCCACTTTATGAATTGGGGGAAACGCCACTCGTTTAAGCTTCAAGACAACATCCGAGAAGGTGCCATCCTGCCCCCGCGCTCACACAGCCAGTCCAATCCCCAAAGCCAGCGGCGAGGGAACCTCGCTGCATCTGCTGAGCCCCGGGCTCCAACGCCGAGAGTGGTCCGCAGACCCACGGCCGAGAAACGCGCCCACGGCAGGCTGGTCTCCAATTCGGCCCCGGAGCCCTCCTCACCCGCAGCCCCCGACCCGCACCCCAACATGCGCCGCCGCCGAGGGGCGCCCCGCGCGGCCGGGGTACTCACACCAGCGCGTGGTAGAGGAGCGCCCAGCCCCGCGGTCTCTCGAGGGCGTCGTAGATCAAAGTTTGGATGCGCCGGTACTTGGCGTTGTTCCTCTTGACCGGGCGGCTCAGGGGGGTCTTGGCCAGGAGCCCGATGCCCTGCGGGGTCCTCCGCAGCCCCTCGTCGCGGCCGCCGCCCTCCAGCAGCAGGGTCCCGTCTTTGTCAGCTCCGGCCCCGAGCGCCAAGGTGACTTGCTCCACGTCGCCGGGCGCCAGTCCCACTTTCCGCTCCTCGTCGCCGGCGGCCGCCGCGTGCCCCCCGGCGGGG